TGCAAATAATATTCTATGTTTTATAGGGTAATATGACAGCTGATTGTCACAACACGCTACAACACTAAAACTCTTCAAAGTGGTAAAATGCGCATGCGCACTGTCAACCAAATACGTACTACCACTGGAAGTAACTACTCTACCCCAGACCTTGTTATTCTTACTGGGCGTGGTCGACAGAATGGCATTCACCAATGTACGCAGTAAGAATAATGGGATACTGGGGGGTGGAGGGTGGGGATTGACGTTGTCGAACGACCAATTCAATCCTTACGCCAACGTAAAGAAATGAATAAAAATTATGCATTCTCACTACTACAACAAAAACGAGTAAAGAACGCTTAGGCACTGGCACGTACTACAAGAAGTATAAAAAGCTGCAATACGTATGAAGTTAAAGATGAACACAGCATCAGAGTACTCTCAATAGATTTCCATGACAACAGGCTCGTCAAGAGGTCAGAGTTACGTTACTCACACGTTATTGGCGGGTAGGAAATTAGATAAGTCAGCCTCTTGAATACAAGTACTGAAATAAAAAGAAAACAAACTTATTCGGCGGCCATGCATTTCATATCATGGGTGCGCGAAAATTTTGCTATAGGTATTTTGGAAGGTTCTATTGAATAGCATTCAAAAACGTACGTGGCTCTAAGAAGTCCGCTCTTTATCGCAAAAAATTATGACGGTGGTTCTTGAACCTTCCATAGATCATAAGAAGATCCATGAATCTTCCAATAAGACATGCAAGAAGTTGCAAGTGCGCGCGCGCCAAGAAAGGCTAAGCGCGTGCGTCTTATGACGTCATTAATTAATATATCGATGGATAGAGTCACAGAATTCAAGTCTCAGACGAGAATTGAATGATAATGGTTAAGAAGAAAGAGATATGAATGACCAGGGTAACGAGAAGGTTGGGGTAACTGAGAGGAACACAGGGGAAAATGAAATTAAGCATAAAGATGATAGCACATTGGAAATATGTGAACGAAAAGAAAGACAAGACAAGAAAAAGACCTCACCACCCGATGATCTATCGCCACCCATGAAGGCACTGCCAGACACCGTTCTACTCAAAGTCTTCTCCTATTTACCCGAAGAACAAGTTTGCAAGGTGGCAAGTGTGTGCGAAGCTTGGAAACGCGTAGCTTATGACAGCTCGTTATGGGAGAGCGTAGATCTACGGCGTTTCCATACTACACTAGACGAGATCCGACTCACTCGACTAATACGATCGCGTATGATCCCGCTCTTACAGAAACTGAACCTCGGTGGATTGAGCCTGTCACCTAGAGTCTTTCAGATTCTCACTAAGGACTGTCCGAAGCTCAAGGTACTCTGCTTGGAATCAGTGACGTTCCTTGAAAATTTCAACGCCACCGAGAACTGCTTTCCCAATGGACTATCGACTTTAGATCTGCGCCACAGCTCAGGGGATGAGAGCGCGTTTCAGGTAATCGCACAAAACGTGCGACAAGTGGAGAATCTTGGACTGAGTGATCATTGTATTACGAGCTTGATCGTATCTAACGATTTAGATGCGGTGTTTCCACGACTGTCAAACGTAAGAGTCCTCGAATTCAGTTACTGTGTTGCACTTACTGATACGATGATAAGTGACATAGCACTTTACAGCAAATCACTTCGCTCTCTTTGCCTCAGAAGGTGCAACACATTTCAGGGCGCTTCTCTTGCACTTTTGATCGCGTCGTGTCCTCTCCTAACATCACTAGTTCTTGATGGCACTTGTGTGAATGACAGCGCGCTAAGAGCTGTAGATTGGGAGAATTCGGCGCTGACGGAAGTCGACCTGTCTTGGTGCCGACATTTAAGTTCCGAGGGGCTTAAAGCAATGTTACCTCACTTATCAAAGCTACGCTATTTAAGACTTTGTTGTGTTGGCTATGGTCATGCTGTAACTGACGACCTACTCTATGTCATGTCCGCAACAAGAAACCAAACCCTTGAGATTTTAGACATGAGTTACAGTGGCTCGGTTACCGACACGGCTCTGGGATACTTTGCTATCGAACACGAAGCATTGCTCTATCTTCGAATGCATCACTGTAGATTGATCACACCGAAGATCATGGACCTTATTCCTCAAGACTCGCAAGTTTTCATAGTTGCGAACTTTCCTATCGACAACGAAGGGATGGTGCTGAATAGTGAACTGCTTAACAGATATACATACTGGCCAACGCCAATATACATGAGGGACTGGAGTCTTGATCAACGGATGGGATGGCGATAGTTAATCACTGACCTGGGACTTCTTGTTCTTAGAGATAGTTCAATGAACTATACTAAATGGTGTGTACTGAAAAGCATGACTATCGAAACTGGATATGTATAGATTTTAGGTGTGAGTAGGTACTGATGCGGTGCGCATTGCGCGCACGAGAAGGATAAGGAATCAAAGATGCCTGGCAGCTCTTGTGACAGAATTTTGAAGTTTGCTTGGAACTTCTCAATCGGTTGTGACTGACATAAGAATCCTTCAAATGTATCTAAATGGTGCATTTGATGTTATATATCAAACTATGGGACAAATAGAATCTCAAGAGACAAACGCTTGTGCATGGAATGGCATCCATGATTTTTTTGTTAATACAAGAAATTTAGCTTTTGAGATTGAATTTCATAATGTCGTCTTTTCTCTTTGTTTTCGTTTGTTTTCGCTTTCATTTTTATTTTTATCTCTTCTTTTTTTTACTCACCAAGTAATTATAGCCCTTCTTTCCACCATCATAATGACATTAAAACTAATCTATAGACTTCTTGCATGTGACGTCAATGCAGCTCAATTTGGAGGACAAAACAAAAGAATTTCAATCTCCTGAGAATTGGAAACCTATTGTTATGTCCTCCAAATTGAGCTGCATTCCGACGTGCTGCTTGCAAGGAGTCTATAATTAATGGGCAATCAAAACACAATACATACATTTTGTCATCCACGACGAGGTCTGTGAGACGCTACACGCTGATACGCTCGCGATGTCCAAGAAAACAATCCAGCAATCCCAGCCTGAAAGCATTGATAGATTCTGCGTTGAATATTATGACAGTATAGCTTGCTGTTCTAATTCTATCACAGTAAGATGGCTTGCTTTCTCGACCAATCACATTAGCCTCTCAAGAGGTCCAATCAAAATAACACGCCTTTCTAACACTGCACAGAGAGCCAAAAACTCTAAAACTCTCTGCTTGAATGGATCAAAAAGTATAAAAGCAAACACTAGATTTGTATAGAAATGTGTTACTTACTCGTACAGTAGCCATAAATCCCCTGGACCTCCCCCCTGATCCTCCGCTTCCTCCTTCGGCATCAGTCCTTGTTTTTGCTCCCTGTGTAAATAATGGCATTTTTTGACGACCTTATTGTCACAATATTCACTTCTCACTTTCACATAAATCTCTTTCTTTTTTTTCTTTCTGTCGCGCGCATGCCCGTCACTGCTATATATAGGTTTTGCACCATCACGTGCCGGCGCCATAATACAGCTTGTACTGCCTGTGGTTAGATGGCAGGACAATAAAATTCCTTTGCTCTTGGGAATTGAATTCTTTCTCGTAAAACGATTGTATTGATCCTGCCATCTAACATGGCTGCCGTCACGTGATGGTGCAAAACCTCTATTGGAATTGGCCTATCCAATTTTGCGCGGGACATTTGTAACGAGTATAGAACGTGATTTGAATCATAGGGCTATTTGAAGGAACGCCATCATTTTTTCAATTTGGAGGAAAGTTTAGCCAACTGTAAAAGGGGAAAAGACAAACGGTGTCCCCTGGAACAGGCCCATAGTGTAAACTATACCTACCTTGGCTTTTGCAAGCTTCGATCCTGCTTCAGTAGAGCCCTTATCTCCCCAGTCGACCTATTTAAGTAAAAAACAGTGTTGAAATGGAACTTGACGCCTGATGGCGCGCATTAGGATGTGGTCTTGATTTCTATACGTTTCAATTAGAAATATTTTATACGGTTACCTCTCCGTACAATCTAACAAGCTAAATTCCTATTCCATCTGTGAGTTCGCCGCGTCCTGACTTCCATCAGAGCTAAAAAAAACTTTTTGCGATCTTTCCTGGTGTGACTTACCTTGACAGGTGCGATGCCCCCTACACCACCCCCTCCATAATACGAGGCGTCTACTGTCGGCCATTTGCCTTTTCCATGACCCTGTATAATACGTGACAAGAAAAAGGTGTGAAGAAATAATGAGAAATAATGATTCGTAATGCTGCTGCTACTGCTACTGCTACTGCTACTGCTACTGCTACTGCTACTGCTACTGCTACTGCTACTGCTACTGCTACTGCTACTGCTACTGCTACTNACTGCTACTGCTACTGCTACTGCTACTGCTACTGCTACTGCTACTGCTACTGCTACTGCTACTAACCATAACAATGACGATCGTTCATGTCGATGAGGATTGATAAAGAAACGACATGGAAAAATGCGAAACTTACCACATTAGTCGCTGTTGTCGGTACAGGAGCGGCTGGTGTCTGCTTTGGTGGTTTCTGTTTTTAAAGATGATGACGCGAGTCAATTTACTGTCAGTTAAACACAACCGGGCAAAATTGAATTATTTCATATATATTTGCGCAGCATCAATGGGCCCTTTCAAAGCTATCATTCACAAGAGGCTAACATGTAAACACAATGAAGAAATCACACGTTTTTCCGATGGAATTTGTGCCGCACAACAAGATGACAAAGCTCAAAGCTATGCATTTTAATTTATTACCTTTTTATATGCGAGAGGTGCAAACCACCATAGAAGAATTGCGAGGAGAAGCAGGGACAATACAGCGAGTAATATAGCTAAACTAGTATCTATTCCAAATGACTGAAATATAAACAGATAATTGGTGAAACACATGATTTAGATTGTTACTCATCTAAGGAATAGGCAGGATAAAACCTAAAGTTTTCGTCGAAACGTAGTTTACAAAGAGACAGAAATCATGCAGGTTGAAAATCACGAGAAAACTAACAGTTAAACATAAAAAATAAATGAAATAAATCAAGTTTTTTTTAAACGTCGTGATACGAACGAGAAGTACGTGCAGAGTCTCTAGCCAGAGGCCGCACACTCCACACTCGCTGCCACTAAATTTAAGCACAGTTTTTTTGTATTTTATTTACGCACATTGTTAAAACACGAACACATGTACAGTTACAGTTACGTGGTATTTTTATAAGTGGTCGTTTGCACGAAGAAAGGGTGTCCCTGCTGTTAGGGCAGACTCCCTGCTGTTAGGGCAGAAAGAAGCAAAATACTTGTTGTCCTACCCCCAACACGTGGTTCACTATCTAAAGTAAACGGATTGTCATTTCACATACCGCTTCAGTAGCCGGTGCGCAATGTTCTGATGTGATTGTTACATTGCTTGACACGAAGGTCAGTCCCTTATTCACAGAAACTTGGAGGATAATCGTGCTTGAAAGGAAAGAATATTGAGCAAGGTTAAAGCACCATTCAGCGGTGCAATGCTATAGAACACTACAATATTCAGTATAACGTGTTTTAAAATCTAAAATCTAATGCGTTAACCACTCCTGGGTGGACGGCTTAATGCCTAACAGGTTTTGCAACCCAACTGATAAGGCAGCCGATAAATCAAATTAGAATTTAGAAGTTGATTTTTGTGGAGGGAGGAAAAACTAGAGAACCCGGAGGAAAAACCCTCGAAGCACAGGAGAGAATCAACAAACAATTTTACTCGCATACGACACCGAGACCGGCAGGACTCCAACACGGGTCGCATTGGTGAGAGGCGACGCATTAGCAGCGCACGCCAATCATGCTTCCCTGGATGCAATAAATACTCTCACTCAGCCTTACGAAAAAAACCACATCAAAACTGGGCGTCTTAGAGGCAAAGAACACTGTTATTAGGGATAAAAAAAGGTTAAGCATCGAAATATACATTTGTAGGTCTTCCGATCGCTACTTACGACGATAACGATTGCGTATTTTCGAGGGCGGTTTGAAATACCTACCTGCCCGTCTCATTCACTATTACCCCTGGACATTCAAGACGATTTGGCTGCACTTCTGTTGGAGTTTGAACTATAAAGAAAAAAAATTCCAATCCCGTTAACAATGTACTTGTATACTAAAGTACATACAATAATATATCAATGAAACACGAAAGAAATTGCACAAAGTTGCACAAATTAGTAAGTTCCGTAGACCTCAGTAGACCTACAAAACTTTGCACTTATTAATTTGTTCAAATTTGTTAGTCATCTCATCTTAACCGATATATGGTACTCACTCTAAGTACTACTACTCTTATTCTTGCATGATATACCTCTTTAATTTGGGCGTAATGTTTTCCCATTTCAGACCGCGTGTCATTCCCTTAAGATTCTTTGTTTGAGTTGTATCCATATTCAAGTGTCTTCTCATACACAACCGTTAAACAAAGAAAGACTACTCTAGGGAATAACATGTGGTCTGTAATAGACCTTTTGCATATAAGACACGTGTCCGTTGTACCAAGACGTCCCACTTATCAAGCACCGTGATAAGATAATGAGGGTTCTAAAAGCATCATTATCACCCTATGAATACATGCCATTGTTGATGAGCAGTCTTACTATACAAATTAACGGTTCTTTTATTTGGGTGAGGTGGGAGGGAATGTTCTTCTTTTGTTTTGTTTTCAATGAACGAATGAATGGAGGAAGAATAGTGATGAGTTGGCGACTGATTGATTGGATTCGTTTTTATTCCTTGTCACAACGAAAGTTTCAATAATGTTAATTCATTAGAAATCTTCGTCTTCTGTTTCGTATAGTTAGGCGTTGATTTCGCACTCGAGCAGCAGCATTACGACGTTGTAAGTTCAGTATCGGTATTCTCAAGTCCTTATCACAATCTCTTCGAATGTTTCTATAGTTTCCCCGGTTAGATACCAACATTCAGTATTCGTGGCGAGTTTATAAGGACGCTGTAATAATCTCTACCACCGTTCATTTCGGGACCAAAGACACCCAAACAATCCAGGACGTCAAGTGGATATTCATCACGGCCAAAACCTGAATGACTAACATTGTTATGAAACACTGAAGCCATGCTAAAAATTTCAAAGGRAAAAACTGGGTAKTGTTTRTAATTCAGAATTTGGTATAATGTCAGAACAATCACTGGAATTTGACCAAAGAAAAAAAGGAAAYGGTGGTGGCATATCTTTGATAGATAAATAACAATGGTGACTGTGGTCACTCAAACTTTCCAGTACRAGAAGGACACCAAAAAGTCGAAGATTGATAGCGTCCTGGACATGCTTCYAGGCATGATGGACAGCGTCAAATCAGCCGCGACGTCCATAAGAAAGCTGTCGCCAAGTGGCAAAATCTTTCAGATTCTGAATAAGGTATCAGTAGACCTTAGCTTACTAGTTTCTATTTCCTCTCGGTAAAATTTTGGAATATTATCCCATTTAGTAGCTTAAACTCCTGGTCATCTACATACTTAGGCTGGTTTCACGACTAGTCTTTATTGAAACCACTGGTCTATTGATAAAGGTCTACAGATACCTTTATACATGTTTCATTTGTTTTTTCGTTTTTCTATTTTTAAGATTTCTTTTCGAACGATATTTTATAGATACAGTTGGCGTATAAAAGACACTTAGTCTAGTATAATTTAAATGAAACTGGACCATAAAGGAAGCTGAAATCGTGCATGTATTGCGTAAGAAAAATTAAAAGCAAAAGAAATTTTGATATTTTGTTACGAAGACATCAATGTTTAAAACAAAGATCTAGTAGAGTATTTCCATCATATCCGTAAAACTTTTCGTAAGGATTTTCACAAATTAGCTCGTGGTAGATATAAAATGTAAATAACAATATAAATACCATATGATTTTTTATAGTATTGGCGACCATTAGCATTCCATTCAACACAAATTAATGGTAAATGAAGAGACAAATTAACAACAATGAATTGGAGGCACTTACAAAATACACAAAACTTTCTTTATAACAAGCATCCGACATTTTTGTTTTGCTTTGCCCCTGGACACCCCATAATGCATTGCGATTGAAGATGATCGCCTTATCGCAAAAGTGCAGGTTGTAAATGGTATTTTGGTATCATTTCACATTCATCTTGCAAATTCATATCCCAAAAACGTCTCTCGCGATGAATAAACCTTTCMCCAATTCGCTTGAAATGGAGGCGGTCCTTGATTCTTTTCTTTATCRAGGCCAGCCTCGACTTGAAACCATTTCGTGTTCGTTAAAGATCTATTGAATGCTAATCGACTCCATAACTGTAAAACAAGCTAAGTTTTTTATAAGTGCCCCTTAACACAATGGCCGCAGTATCGTCGAAGTAGTCCATATTGTTTTTAATGATTGATACAAAACACATTTTTCAGCGTGGGTATAAACTGAAGCAAAATTATGGCAGAAATGGAATATTAAAGCCGACATGAAAACCGCTAGTAAGAGGAATATACTCATTTCCGCGTGCCTGAATAACAATGCCCGGGTATAAGTGAGACATTTCGGGACACGGGACACATGTCTTATATGCAAAAGGTCTAATAGGAAAACCTTAGGCAAGGTAAGGACTTGTATTTGGTCAGTATTAGTTCTTACCTCTGCGGTACGTGTCGTTGAAACTGTAGCTACAGATGACGTTGCTTTTATTGTCTGTTTTATCAAAGCCATTACCATACAATGTGACCGCGTATGGCGCTGAAAAATAACCGCAAATGAAATAGAAAAGTGAGCAACCATGAGAATATTAACAATTTGCTCCGACAAAGGGATAAAGTCAAAGCACACATACCTCTTGTACAGACTTGTGTTGGATTGGCAGACAGAATTTCGATGCAAGATTTGTTGATAATCTGTGAGGAAGAGAAAGTATTGTAGCATGAGATGAATGAATGGAGTTACCGTCCGTCACTGCAAACGTTGGGTTGTTTGCCCTCCTATAATGTTTAACAGCAACTAAAGTAACATGGTCGATTCGCGTTGAATAAATCCCCCCTCAATAACAGCCCGAACTGCTACGAGCCTAGTAGCCCCCTAGTAGGCCCAGTAGCCCTTATCTATGAATGTTTGAATCGTTTCGCGCGTTGTCATGCCCAACAGAAAATAAACTGAACTCAGTTTGCTTCAGATTTTGAACAAAAAAACTTACAGAATCAATCATGTTCGTGAGAGACTCGTAGCTTGGGCCAGTAAAGACGTGCTGTTCTGATGGCTTGCTTGCCAACTTTTTCAGCTATAAATTAAGAAAACCAACGAGCAAGAAAAGGTTGGAAGGCAAGATAAGATGTGAGGATAACCAGTTAAAATGAGTAAAATGGCTTAACTCATATTTACCTGGTCTACTTCATAATTGGCGACGCCAACAGCTATAACTGATGCTCCGAGCTGCCTTGAAATGTTCGCCTGAAATTACATGAATCATTTACATAAATACTAAGGATTACTAAAAGACAGTCCGTAAGTTGTCACTGCTGTGTGTTTCTCCGTGTTTGCGGGAGTGTTTCTGGGCCTGATCCCTAGTGGTAACCTTGATGCTAAAGGTCTCTCTTGTCATATTTATAGGCTTCTGATAGGATATTCGCGCAATATTAACAAGGACAGCAGTGCAACAACATGAGGTCAATTTTGGCACGCTCTCCCAAACTCAATAAACGGTCTTTTTTGCTTCGGAGGAAGAAATAAACTGTTATTACAAATCCCCGTTAAACTCTTAGTTCTAAACGCACAACAATGAAGTTTATGAGTTTTGAGAAGGAATCCCATGCAGCGCCCCTAGTTTCCTACGCAGCCGCTATTAGTGTCGTCACGCAACGCTCACCGCATCATGCATGAACACCTTTTGATGCTATTTTTAGAAGTGAGCAACAGCGTTCAGCGCGAGCAGTAACAATGGCAAATAGGATTCTAAAAATACCATCAAACGATGCCTATCATGGTTACAAGCATCAATACCAGAGATCCTTTCTTTTATTTCATTTCCTCTTGGTTTTAAGTCTCTCGTTATCAATCTGTTATACTAACCTGGTCATATGACGCTGTACCATCGCCGAGAACTCCATCAGTCAGAATAAGTATGACACTGGCAGTCTGTTTACCTGATCAAAAGAATACGTCATTATTATCAATAAAATGCGTCACAACAATATAACTTTTGGTGGACGTTGTTCAAAGTGTTTCCATGACATCCCAAAGACACATGCTCTGGGTACGAGGATTGAAGTCTACGAATAAATGTGATCTTGTCTCTACTACGATTCCGCGCATGTCATTGAGATTGTTGGCTTAGGAAATCAAGTGAAATCAAAATTGCGCATGCGCTGTTTTTTTATTATTTTCTCACACTTTCATCGATGTGGATTATTATGGTCTACCTACGTACCGAGATTCCTAATTTGTTCATTTGCCTGGAAAATAAAACACAGAAAATCAATCGGCGTCTATCGGGCTCTGGTTGAAGCTATTGGGGTTTGTATGGTCTATCGATGCATGTATATAATATAATTAATAATATAATTTATTTATATAGCGCTCATCTCCAAAATTGTCCAAGGCGCTTCACAAAAAATTACGATAGAATATTTACAATAGTTACAAAAT